GTCGTGTTGGGTCCCACTGGGGTCCCACCTGGCTCCTGCCCAGCCCTCACTGAGTCCCGTGTGGCCCCAAGCACCCAGGGCAGTGTCCCCGCTGTGCCCCCTGTTTGCCGCTGGCTCCTCCCCTGTGACTGCCTTTAGGGCCGGGATATGAGGGTTCCTTACCCCTGCAGGATATCCCAGGAGCTGCAGGAGCTCGATCCTCACACCCTTCCCCCGGGAATACCTTTGCAGTCCAAGCAGAGCTGCTGTAATGCACAGCCGAGGAGAGAGAATGCTTGCAGCAATAAATTCATGGATCTTCACAGCCCAGCAGGCTGACAAGCATCTGGTTTTAAAGAGACTTTAAAACCACTCAGAGTGCTGTGAGGCAGACTGAGACCCCCTTCTGCTTGGAGACCCCAAACACCAGCTTCAAAGGAGGGAGGGAAATTGCAAAGATAGCCTGGAAAAAGTGGATTTCAGTGGGGGCAAACCTTCAAAGCACAAATTTCCTGTACTGTTATAAAGACTGTGTACCTTGGGTATGAATAAGGCAAAAAGTGGGAACCTTTCCTAACCTGACAGGTGGTTCCGCTGCTGGGCTGTGATGCTCCTGGTTCCTTCTGTGCTTCTCGTCGATGGGACCCATCCCTCCTGTGGTGCCATGCAGGTGGCTCTGCCCCAGGACAGGGTGCCCATGGGTGCCAGAGAGCAGGGTCTGTCCCACTGCCCAGCTGAGAGGTTTCACACAGAAGGCACATTTCTCCTTGGAGAGCCCCAGATGTCAGCTAACCACATTTCCTGCCACTGCCACTGGATTTTCCTGACTTTAGGGTTGGTGTCTCTCACCAGCTGAGGGCTCAGTGCACCCCCCGCTATCCCAGGGCTGGTGGGAAACCACTGGCAGCCTGGGACACGTCCTTCCAAGCTGGCCCTTGTCCTCAAGGCAGCTTGCAGAGCAGCCTGTGACCAGTGAAAACACGGGCCCCCAGCCCACTGGCTCCTTTGGAGCTGCCTAATTGAGGCAGGAGTGGTACCTGGGCCTCCCCGCTCCTGCTGCAGCCTCCGGCGAGCCGAGCTCTGTGTCAATTACAGGAAAATCAATGAAGATACTGTTCAGGACTCCTTTTCACCATTCAGCACGGATGATATCCTTCACTTTCTAGCACTGATTCATTTACTTTCGGCCTCTCCAGGGGCTCCTGACATATTGCTATCTCTGAAGAATCTGAGGCAAGAACTGCCTTTGTTTCCACTGCAACTTGTTGGTGGGGCTGGGGCTCACTGAGGGTCAGGGGAGAGGCTGCAGCACACGGCAGGGTTTAAACATTTCTTACCAAAACACCTTCCAAGGTCCTTCCCAAATCAAGGGAAAAATGGGTGCAAACACGGGAGCAGAGTGCCACTGCTGTCCTTGCTCCAGCTCCAGGCTGCTCCAGATGAGCTATCGCGAACCTAAAAGCAGGGACACCACAGTAGTGCTGCTTGGACAGGGCTTGGAGCAACCTGGTCCAATGGAAGCTGTCCATGGCAGGGCCTTGGAACTGAATGGTCTTTCCCAGTCCAGAAGCTGTGAACTCTCCTGCAAGAGAAAAGACAGGAGAGTGAACAGGACTGTGACACCAGGGCTGTGCAGTCTCACTCTCGGGTTTATTCCCACCCCCAGGACTCAAGGCCAGAAACTACAGGAGACAATATTAAATGTTACAGAACTGATTTCTAAAATATTTAAAGCAAAAGCCTGCAGTTGGTTTATCCTGGCAAGCCTAGGATTTCACTGGGACAGCATTATCCATGTTGAAGCTGGGGACATCATGCACTCGGTGGACAATAACAGACATCAGGTGACAGTCACATAAAATACCTGTCCCGTATCAAACCACTGCTATTTCCTGCATTCCTAGCCTTTTCTCTCACTCCACCAAAGCCACAGGCATCCCACAGCAGCCAGATATAGACCCCAGGCCGTACTCTGGCTGAACTCCCACTGCAGGCTGAAGAACCTCACTGATGCAAACTCCAACCCTGCGAGCTCCTCGTGTTCCTGCTCTTCAAAGAGAGCTCCGTGCACGGAGAGCAGGTAGGCAATAGCCCAGAGCAAGGACGGGGCTACAAAGACAGGATCTATTATTCATGAGGCAACTTCAGTGAACCCGGGGCTCAGAGGCAGAGGGGGCTGGGGGGAGCTTCGTAAGGGGAAAAACGGAGTTAGAAGGAACACTGAGAGCGATGCAGCACGCAGGGGTCGTGTTCATGAGAGACATCCCTGGGAGTGCAGAAGGCTCTCTTGGAGTTCACATGGGATTTGCTCTGTGGTTTAAGGGGCAGTTTAATGATCCATGCTCCAAATGCCAGGCTTTTAAAGAGAGAGGGGTCTCTGAGCCAGCACAGATTCCCACAGCTCTGTACATGCCACCCTTGGTCTACAGTGTCACAGGGAAACAGGAGCTGGGGACACCGTGCATCCACCCAGACATGGGTCCCCAGCAGAGGAAAAGGTCCCCAGCAGCCTGGGCCCCACATGGTTGAGCCACGCTCAGCCCTGACCCTATCTGGGGGCTCCTGACCCTGTCTGGGGGCTCCATGGGGTCCCTGCAGCCCTGGGTTTCCAGGGGGGTCCCTGTGGTTGCCAGGCTGGGCCACGCCAGGCTTTTGAGGGGTCAATTGGGCACTCCAAGGCAGTGGGAAGGGTGGTCTGAGCACCTTAGGGGAACACTGGAGATTGTCAGGGTGGGCACATTAGGGGAACTGCTGCGGAGGAGACCCCAGGGCTGCTGGGGGTACTGGGGCTCTCCGGGTGGCACTGGGGCTTTTGAGGGCACGTTGGAGCAAATCTGGCGTTGTTGGTGCGCGGGGGTGGCACAGGGCCTTAACGGGGGCTGGCAGGGCCTGTCGGGAGGGAAGCACGGCGGTGCCGGGGGGTCACCAGGGCACTGTGCCGTGCCCGAGGCCATCCCGGAGCGGCTGCCGCAGAGCAGGGGGGCCGGGCTGACGCTCCCGGCTGCCATTTCACCGCCCCGGCCCCTCCATTTTCCTGCGAGCGCGGCGGAGCCGGCCCGGCCCCGGCCCCGCCGCCGCCCCCAATGTAGCGGCGCGGCCGCCCCGCACCCGCCCAGCCGCGGGGATTGCCGCCTCCGGCATGCGGAGCTGCAAGATGGTGCGGGTGGCCAGCGTGCTGGGGCTCGTCATGCTCAGCGTGGCACTGCTCATCCTGTCCCTCATCAGCTACGTGTCGCTCAAGAAGGATAACATCTTCGGGGCGCCCCGCGCCGCCGGCGCCGCCGGGCCCCGCATGTACATGTTCCACGCGGGCTTCAGGTGAGGCGCGGCCCGCAATGCCGGCCCGGCCCGGCCCGGCGGAGAGGGGACACGGGAGTGGGGCCGGAGAGCGCCGGGAGCGGCCCGGGGTGCGGGAGGCGGGCGGGGGAACCGGCACAGCCACGGCCACGGCCATAAGCGCTCTCCGTGGTGCTGATGGCGGCGGCCGCGGAGGCGGGCCGGGCACGACTGGCAACGGGCGGGGGCTGTGGGGTGTGCGGGGCTGTGTGGGGTGTGCGGGGCTGTGTGGGGTTATGTGGGATGTGCGGGGTGTGCGGAGCTATGTGGGATGTGCGGGGCGGGGGGAACCGGGGGGGATGTGCGGGGTGTGTGAAGGTGTGTGGGGTGTGGGGGGCTGTGTGGGATGTGCAGGGTGTGTGGAGCTGTGTGGAGTGTGTGGGGTGTCTGTGTGGGGTTTGTGTGTGCGTGTGTGCTGGGTGCTTGCGTGGGTGTCTGTGTCTGCATGGCTGTCTCCATGTGTGCTGTGTGGGTATCTCCATGTGTGTGCATGGCTGTCTCCATGTGTCTCCATGTGTGCTGTATGGATGTCTCTTTGCATATCTATATGTATGTGTGTGTGTCTCCATTTATGTGCATGGTGTCTCCACATGTGTATGTGGCTGTCTCTGTGTCTCCATGTGTCTCCATGTGTGTATGCAGCTGTCTGTGTGTCTCCACGTGTCTCCATGTATCTCCATGTGTGTGCATGGCTGTCTCTGTGTCTCCATGTGTGTACACGTCTCGGTACCTGTGCCCACCTCCAGGTCTCAGTTTGCACTGAAGTTCCTGGACCCCTCCTTCGTGCCCATCACCAACTCCCTGGGCCAAGAGCTGCAGGACAAGCCTTCCAAGTGGGTGTTCAACCGGAGCGCCTTCGCCCACCAGAGGTGAGCCAGCCCCTGGGCATTGGCAGGCTGTCCCCTTCCCACGGGCACTTAAGGGAATGCAGCACTCTGCTGAGCACTCTGAGCTCCCAGGAATTTGCCAGCAGCAAGAGACAAAGGCTGAAGCAGAGCTTTTCCCCAGACAGCTGCAGCTGTCCTGAAAGACTTTGATTATTTCAGAGCAGGACACCAGGCTGCAACACATATTATTGTACTAGAACGTGACCCAGTTTCCTGGTGTGCAAGTGGAATTGTCATTACTGCAGGATAAATAGCTGTGGTTTAAAACTGGAAACACTTTGGGCTGCAACAGCCATGCAAGGCTGTGTTCATGGAGGCCAAACACACACGGAGAAACTTCCCAGCTGCTGGCAGTTCTGAGCAAGTGCAATGCTGCTCCTGCCTCCAGCTCTGCTCCAGCTGCAGAGGCAGGCACAGAGATTTGTACTCTTTATACATACATCTATTTGCTGATTACATCTATTCAACATTTCTACAAAAGAAAATAAAACCATGTAGCCATTTCAGACAGCTACTGCCATCTTGGACTGTAATTTTGTCCTGGCAAATGCCTCCTGGTTTAGGGCCTGCCTCGTGGCTCTGTTCACATTCTCACCTGGGGAGCAGGAATCTGGCTCTGTGGCCAGGCAGGATGGGGCTGCTGTACCTCTCAGTGCAGGGTTTGGGCTTTTCTCCTCCCTTCAGGCCGCTGTCCAAGGACAGCAGGACAAGTAATTCCCTTGCAGTGCTGCCACACACTGCCCTCAGGAGCCGTGGGCTACAAGAGAGCAGGTGGCACTTTGCCCCATCTTTCCCCCAGGGCCTCCCAGGCTGTGGGGCAGTGGCCACCCTCAGTGTTCCTCCATAGTGCTGTTGCACCAGCAGCTCCATAGGCCTGTCCCTGTGCTACCCCTCTGATGATTCTAGCTGATGCCTCAGGAGCTGCCTTTACACTTGTCTGTCAGCCAGAACCCATAATTAGGGCACCCAGTGGGACTCCATTAATGCTCAGACATTGGAGGATGTGAGCTGGAGGAATGGTTGTTTGTTTTCCATAAACATAAACAAATAAAGTCCTATTCAGGTTCTAATTTTATGCCCTGCAAGGGAAATTCCCAAGCAGGGTTGGTTTTGCTTGCTTTGTAAGTATCCCTAATAACCCTTGTAAAAGTGCTGCTGTGCTTGCCCAAATATGAATTAAGGAACTATATTTGCATAGATGGAGACAGCAACTGTCGCTTGGTTTTGTGACTGGAAGCTTGTTAATGAAAACATAAATATATATGTATATATAAATGGTCTCCTGTTAATTCAGTTGGATATCCTGGGTTTGCTTCACGTGCCTTGTGGCTGCAGCAGGAATGAAAGGCACACACAGAGTAGCAGCAAGCTGTGCTCACCCTGTGTCACAGCCCAGACAGAGCAGTGCAGTGCACAGCCCACAGCTGGGTGGTGTAATGGGAGCTGCACCCCTTGTCCTAAGCACCAATCCCATATTTTAATCCTGATACTATTCCAAGAGGCACAGCACAGCCTGAGCTGGCATCAGTAGGGACCAGCTGGTGAAACCAAGTGGAGCTCTAGGTGAGGAGCCAGCTCCCTCATCGCCTCTATTTATATTAAGTTAAAAGCCATTGCACCGTGTTGCTCAGGAAACTACTTCAGTACACAAAAAACCAAAAAAGGAAAAATAGAAGTCTAAGTGGAAAACAAATCCACAGCAAAAAAAGGGGAAATAGAACTCCATGTTTTCTGTTATTTTGCTTGTTTTAGGCAAGAAATCCTTCAGCATGTCGATGTCATCAAGAACTTTTCTCTGACCAAGAGCAGCGTTCGGATCGGGCAGCTGATGCACTACGACTATTCCAGTCATAAGTACGTTTTCTCCATCAGCAACAACTTCAGGTCTCTGCTTCCTGACGTGTCTCCCATCCTGAACAAGCACTACAACATCTGTGCCGTGGTGGGCAACAGCGGGATCCTGACCGGGAGCCAGTGTGGGCAGGAAATTGATAAATCGGATTTTGTCTTTCGGTGCAATTTTGCTCCAACTGAGGCTTTCCAGAAAGATGTTGGAAAGAAAACCAACCTTACCACCTTCAACCCCAGCATCCTGGAGAAGTATTACAACAACCTCTTGACCATTCAGGATCGCAACAACTTCTTTTTAAGTTTGAAAAAGCTCGATGGGGCCATTCTTTGGATCCCCGCTTTTTTTTTCCACACCTCAGCGACAGTCACGAGAACACTGGTTGATTTCTTTGTTGAGCACAGAGGGCAGCTGAAGGTCCAGTTGGCATGGCCAGGAAATATCATGCAGCACGTTAACAGGTGGGTGTTGCATTTAACTGGCCAAATACATCTCTTTGTACATTTTTAACTGATTTTTCCCCTCATGCCTGACGTGGGAGGCACAGTCTGGCAAGTCAGACTGTTCTCAGAGCCACTGAAGTTCTGTGGGTGCTTCAGAGCAGTGATTTCTGAGCAGATTGATTCTGACTGAGCTTCTTGCCTCCCCAGGTACTGGAGGAACAAGCACCTGTCCCCGAAGAGGCTGAGCACAGGGATCCTCATGTACACCCTGGCCTCGGCCATATGTGACGAGATCCACCTGTACGGATTCTGGCCCTTCGGCTTCGACCCCAACACGCGGGAGGACCTCCCGTACCACTACTACGACAAGAAGGGAACCAAGTTCACCACCAAGTGGCAGGAGTCCCACCAGCTGCCTGCAGAGTTCCAGCTGCTCTACAGGATGCACGGTGAAGGACTGGCCAAACTCACCTTGTCGCATTGTGCCTAAGAACCTAAATCTCAAAGTGCCAAACAATTGTCTAAAAAAAGTGCCCAAAACCAAATTATACATTCTTCAGATAGAATTCTAAAAAAGGAAACAAACCCACCCTAAAATCTTTTCCATAATTTAAAGATGCTTTTTAGCTACTGCTCATCCAAGGGTTTCAGCATATTTAGCAGTGCAGAAGCTTTTATCATATCCTGTGGATGCGATTTGTGCAGCTGCAATGTTGAAACATTTTGCATTTCTAGATAAGCCACTCAGTATGTTTAAATACCTGTTCATATTTTAGCGTTCTACTAAATGCCCTAAATCTCTTCATTTTGTTGTTCCTTCCCATTGGGCCTAGAAATGCTACTTTTAAAAGGTTTTGCTTCTTTTGTATCTGTTGCTGTCCATAGCTCAGCGTTGCCATGGCCAATGGAGGAGTCCACGCTGAATTCCAGTGCATCGTCCCACACCAGTTCCTCAGTGTGGATCCTCATTTCCACTGCTTGGGTATTTTCGTATTTACTGAATTTTACCTTTTTTTAAGAATAACAAGAAGAAGCTCACAAAGTGGCTCATACCTTACTTAGCTAGGTGTTTATATCACTCTTGGAATACTTCAGTGTTTTAACTCCATTCAGGACAGATCCTAGTCCAGACCAGACAGGAGGAAGCATGTTCATTCCCATCCATCTGATACTATTGTGTCATTTGATTTCAAAGTTAAACCAACACAATAAAAGGAATTTGGCTTCTCTGGAGACATATTGGGTGAGAAAAGACACAAACTCCGTCCTCCCTCTGCTTGGGCAGAGACTGGCATGATGGGCAAAAATGCAAGCCAGGTGTTGGGATTTTTAAAACCAGTTTTTGTAGGGAAGTGAGCAGAGCTGGAGTGCCATTACCAAATTTCCTCATTTATGTCTCTAACTCACCAGTCAGACAGCTGGAGTTGTGTCCCCATTTTCCCATCACCAACAGCACTCCAAGGCAGACAGGGCAGAGCTTTCTTGGCACCACCACAGGAAATGCAGCTATTTGGGGACAGGACAAACAACAGGGTCACTTACAGTGGGGAAGTGTTGGCCATTATGTCTCAGGATAAAGGAGCCTAGGAAATAACTGAGTTTTTTATGAGTATGCTGGCAAATATTTAACCATATTTTACTATTCTGAGTGAGAACCGACCCCCTAATGAAAGAAGCACCAAAATCCAATATTTTAAATGGTACATTTTAATTTTACTCAGCTTCTTTACCTACAATCAGACATAGGAGATGAGGAAGGAGATCTGGAGCACAACACCCACCCTGAGTGGCCCAGGTGTGTCCTGGTGCCCACTGTGCTCATGGAGTCACACTGGTACAGTGCTGATGTCCTAGGGAAGGATTGAGTCTCCCAGTGCCAGCAAGGGCTGTGGGATCACAGCACTGGTCCCAACAAAGCCTGCAGGGAGCCTTCTCCACGTGCTGGAGCACATAGATTGTTGAACCCCAAAGCAGAAATTGCACAGGGAAGGAAGAGCTCTGCACTGGTCATGAATGAATCATTTCTGGTATTGTTTCCTATGGAGCTGTACAGCGGCCTTGCTTATTGCTGGGGTCCATGGTAAAGCAGTGCCAGCAGCTCTAATCCTAATGGCAAAGAGCCCACGGGGGCAGAAGGGTCACCCCAAACCCCAAGTGACCCTTGTTGGCTTGTCTGAATGCCAGGTATTTTTATCAAGAGGCATTTTACCAATTTCCTGTAGAGACCCATCATTTCTCATCAGCAAATTAAAGAAATAAGAACTATTTTCATTATATTGGCAAATCAGGGAGCAATGTGCTCCATACGGTTTCTGGAACCTCCCATGGTCCTGGAGAGGGGCAGAACCCCCTGCCAGTCCTGGGCACAGCCCTGGCATCACCACCAGAACTTTCCAAAGGCACAAAGACACACCAAATGCAGAGAAGGAAGCACAAAACTGATTGGAAATATTTGGAAATGGGAATACAGAAAAATCATTGACAGAGCTTCATATTACATCATTGATTTTTAAACAAAACTCCCCACTGATGCTCCAGACCCACACTGAACATTTCAGAATCATTGATTTTAATGGGGAGTTCTGCCCCACGATCGATGGGCACAGCACAGCCCAGACTAAATTGCTTCTTAGTATCAATATTTTTTTGCCCAAGCTCATGCAAGGTGGAAAAGCATCTCAAAGTGTGCAGCTTTTGTTTTGCCAGGTGGGGTCTGAGGGATGGAGAAGACAGTGACTGAGGAGGAGAGGTTCTTTGGGGCTGCCTTTGCATTAATAAGCAAGTATCTTAATGATTTATTTAATTGTTATTTGCAAGATGCTGGGGGCTGCCTCCCCTGCTCAGGACAGCCAGTGGCCCCTGAAGGTGGCATCACCTCAGCTGGGCTCTTCCTTCCCTCTCTTTGGCCCCAAACCTTCCTGCATGAATTCCTGATGGTTCAGGGGGAATTCTCCTTCCCATGACTGAATGTCTAGACAAGCCAACAGAGCTAATTCAACACCTGCAAGTACAAAACATTTGAGGTTCCAAAATCCAGAGAAGTCCTCCTGAGCAGCTCCCTCCATTGGGAAAGCCTGCTTGGCCCTGGGCTGCCAGGACAGTGTCCAGTGGCAGCCACATCCTGCTCCAGCCCCTCTGCCAACAGGATGGGTGCCAAGGTGCTGGGGGTGTACATAGGATTGGAAATACATGTTTCCTCTCTTTTTTTATACATTTTAGGTCTGTATTTTTGTTGCTTGCATCTCCTCAGTGAAAGTAGCGAGGCATGTGAAAACAGGCATTTGGCTACCAGGTTTAATTGTGGACTAAGCCAAAAAGGAAGAGTTTGTGAAACAGAACTGACTGTGAATGGAGGCTGCAAAAACAGGGCAAATAGGAAAAAGCAGGTCTTCTGTAAATGAATGTGTCTTTATTTCAATGGCTCTACAGTTCAATGCCTGATGGAGTTGTTTTCGATTTAAAAAATATAAACTTTAAAAAAAAAGAAAAAAAAATGCCATAATTGTAATAAAGGTTTCCTTATTAAGGGCCATACGAAAGCATTGTTTATTTTTCAATGGCTGATGTTCATAAAGGGCCAGGGCACTTCTCAGGTGAGCAGTGGGAAGGATGCTGCAAGCAGAGCTGCTCCAGCCTCACAACCACGGAGAGCCTTGACTCATGTGCCATAACCTGATAGAGAATGCGTTGTTTTTAAATAAAATGGTTTCTTGTGCATTGGGAGTCTGTAAAACTCCACTGCCTCTGCTTCTTCCTTATTGCTATTTCCCGAACTCTCAGGGCCACTGAGAGGTTTTACTGGAAAACTTCACCAGAGGAGTTGCCAAAGGTGTTGCTTAATGCTCCCTATATTTCATTATGCAGTGCAACAAGCTTGGTGTGATGGATCAAATTCTGCACTCCAGTGGAATACGTGGAGATAAAAAGTGGGGGAATCTGGGCACTGGTTGGCTCAGGTATTTGCTCTTTAACAGGAACATCTTACAGCCCACTGCTGTTACTTGTTCCAGGTTGCTGCCTGCTCCAGCACTCCCAGGATGGTCTCTCAGGCTGGCAGGCACAGGAGGAGAGCCATGCCAGATCCTCTGTCTGTGCTGTCCAACCACTAATACCCACTACAGCTCATAGATTTATCCTTGGGACCATCCTGGCCACTGCAGTTCATAAATTTATCCTTGGGATCATCCTGGCAGAGAGGCAACGATTTACAGTTCTATTACCCAATTTGGGGATAGGGATGGGATAGGAAGAATCCTTTCCTTCCTCTCCCACTGGTAAATGTGAGGAAGGCTCTGCTGGCCATTGATACCAGTGGCCAGTGTGGGTTGAACCCCCCCAGCTCCATGGAGCTGTGCCTCCATCCCTGGGAGGATGTCCTGAGGAGCTGAAGCTGCTCCCTCTGCAGGGAATGGGCTTGTGACAGCAGTTTCAAAATGCCAAAGAAAACACTTTGCAATGTTTGTTTAAAAGCAAGTGAAAAAAGCACCTGCAGTCCCTGGCCAGCTGGTGAGGGCTGCTTTAGAGGAGAACTCCCTGTGCCTGTGCCGCGTCCTGCACTGAGGTGTCACCTTGGAGTCACCCATGGCTTGGGTCAGGTGCCAGGTGTGGATGCTGCAGGACTACAGAGATGAACCCTGGAAAATAAAAGAGGAGAGGAATTAAATTTCATATTCCCAGGGAAGCCACAACCCAAACCAGACGGATGCTGGGCAAGAAAGCTCAGCCAGGCCAGGTCAACCCCCAGGTTTGTCCCACCCTAGCATCGCTGGATCCCTGGACACCCCACCGCTGCCTCTTTGTGGGGAGCCCCAAGCTGCAGACAGACAGGAGAAGGAAAGCTAACAAAGAAACTCCCTCCTCCCTCCCCCAAGAGCAGAGGGAAGCCTGTGGCAAAGGCAGCCATGCAGACAGGGAACGCTGTCCCGCTGGGCAGCCGAAGCTCGCTGGGCTGGAAGCAACAGCAGCCACCCGGCTCCTGGCACTGCTCCTGCCCGCCGTGCCCAGCTCCAGCTTGCCCTGCCTGGGTGACAAGGGACACCCAGCACGCTCCTCCCTCTGAGGGCAGGCACAGCCCCACCCTCTGCTTCGGGTACACTGCACCATGCATGGATATTCACACTTTGATTCCCAGGAACATTCTGACATGAATTCGGACAGACACCAGAATTGGGCACTACGGTGTGTAACAAAACATCCTGAGGAGATGCAGCCATCACGTTTGGAAAGTCAAAGGCCTAGTTAATTTGTTGGAGAAGGTAAGGCAAGGCAAGAGGAAAAGAGAGGAAAAGAGAGGGAAAGAGGAAAAGGGAGCAAAAGGGAGGACACAGACACCAGCACATCTGCGGCACCAGATTCCCATCAGGCTCTGCCCACACACCCTCCTCCCGCCTGCCCACAGAGGCACCTCCGTCTCCGGAGAGCTGTACTCGCCTCTTTTTTTCCCCCAAATCGACTGCAACTTTTGCCTTCCTTTAGGAAGGACAAAAAGATTTCACGCATAAGTTGCCCTGAACAAAGGCACCTCACGCCAGGGCTTTCTTTTCTGTCTTCCTTTCTTTTTCTTTCTTCACCACAAGCTGGCAGCGGGAGGAGTAGCTGGGGTGGGGGGAACTCCACTCTGTACACGCCTGATTAGTGCCAAAAAGCAGCTCAAGAAAACACTGTGAGCTCCAGAGACGCTATGATGGCAGCATGGAGAGAAATGGATCCTTTGGGATCCAATGTGTAGGGAAAATGGGTGCTGCCATACACAACCTGTTTGCAAGGAGATGACACTCTGGAGAGTGGCCTGATGATGGAGGTGACATTTCTCCCCGTTTCCCCTCTTTTAGTTCCTGGAAAGACCCAGTGGAGATGGGACTTTCACAAATATGGAGAGGGTTATCAAGGCCGAGGTAAGGATGACACAAAACACAAGGGCATGGCTGCTGGTTAAAGGAGCAGGGAGAAGTGAAGTGCACAGCTAGGAGCAGCGGGCACAGCCCGACCCGACGTGTCTTGGCACGGGTGCCCTGCATGGACTATGCCACTCGCCAGCTCCATGCCAGGGGATGCTGGAGATTCCTCAGGCCCTGAGCCCACTGGGGCCCTGAGCGCACTGGGGCCCTGCCCTGCTGCTCCTCGGGGTCTCTCCCGGCTCGCTGTCCCTGCCCGCTCCCCTCTGCCCTGCCCCTGCCCACAGAGCCAGCCCACCGCCGTGTGCCCTGCGGAGCTGTGCCCTGTCCCTGCCGGCCGCGGGCCTGAGGGGAGCCTGAGGGGAGCCTGAGGAGCCCGCCCTTCTCTGAGGAGAGGGGAGAACGTGCGGCCTGCCCGTGCGTGCAGCGGTGAGCCGTGCCAGCGGGGACACCGGGCTCCTGGTGCCACCATCCACCCTCGGGGTACGTACATCCATCACACCTTATTGATGAGCCCGAATTAAGGCAATTAATAACCAACAACAAACAGCACAGATCAGCGCTGTACCTTGGTGTGCAGCAGCCGACAGGGAGGCAGCGCGGCCGGCCGCAGGGCCCCGGGAGCCGCCGGCTGCGGGACCTGGAGGTGCGAAGCCTCCTGCCGGGATGAGAGCTGGGAGGAGAGCCGTGCGGCCGGCACCGCGGATGCGGGAGGAGTCCCGGCCGCTGCCGGGGCCGGTTCGGAGCCCGGTTCCAGCGGCCCCGCACGCTACAAAGGCTGCGGAATCCTTCCCGGCCCTGCCGTCTCCTCGCGCCCCTCACGGAGGCCCCGCCCCCGGCCCTCAGCCCGCCAATGTTCCCGCGCGCCCCGCCTTTCCCGCTCTGCCCTCACGCCCTCACGCCCGCCCGCCGGCGGCGCAGGCCCGGCCCCGCGGGCGCGGCCGGGGCGGAGCGGCCCTGGACAGCTCCCGCCGCCCTCAGACGGCGGCGGCGGCGGCGAGGCGAGGACATGGCGCGGGGCCGGCGCGGCGGGCCCGGCTGAGCCGCCGCTGCCCGCGGGGCGGGCGGCCCCGGGCCGCGGCGGCCGCCGCCCCGATGAGCGGATGAGGAGCGGGAGCGGCGGCCGGCGGTGCCTGGGCGGGGAACCGGGTGCGTGCGCCATGAACCCCGAGCTGGCGATGGAGCCGCTGGGCAGCCTGCACGGGGCGGCGGGGCACGAGCCGGAGCTGATGGGCAGCCCCAGCCCTCACCACGGCGGGCGCAGCGCGGGGCCGCTCCGGGTGCCGCCCCCGCCGCCGCCGCCGCCGCCGCCGCACCAGGAGCTGCCCCCCGCCGCCCGGCCCGCCATGGTGCCCAGCATGGCCTCGCTGCTGGACGGCGCCACCGAGTACCGGCCCGAGCTCTCCATCCCGCTGCACCACGCCATGAGCGTACCCTGCGAGGCCTCGCCGCCCGGCATGGGCATGAGCGGCACCTACACCACGCTGACGCCGCTCCAGCCCCTGCCGCCCATCTCCGCCGTCTCCGACAAGTTCCACCACCCTCACGCCCACCCGCACGCCCACCACCACCACCACCACCAGCGCCTGCCGGGCAGCGCCGGCGGCGGCTTCGCGCTCATGCGGGATGAGCGCGGGCTGCCGGCTGTCAACAGTCTCTACGGGCCCTACAAGGAGGTACCGGCCGTGGGGCAGAGCCTCTCGCCGCTGGGCAACGGGCTGGGCCCGCTCCCTGGCGCCCAGCAGGGCCTGCACGGCTACGGGCCGCCGGGCCACGACAAGATGCTGAGCCCCAACTTCGAGGCGCACGCGGCGATGCTGGCGCGGGGAGAGCAGCACCTGCCCCGGGGGCTGGGGACGCCCCCGGCCATGCTGCCGCCCCTGAACGGCGCTCACCATCCCGCGCCCCCCGGGCCGCCGCCGCCGCACGGCCCCGCGCTGCCCGCCGGCCGGGAGCGGCCGCCCCCCGCCGCCGGCCCGCAGGGGAGCGGAGCGGGGCAGCTGGAGGAGATCAACACCAAGGAGGTGGCACAAAGGATCACGGCGGAGCTGAAGCGCTACAGCATCCCGCAGGCCATCTTCGCCCAACGAGTGCTGTGCCGCTCCCAAGGGACCCTCTCGGACTTGCTGCGGAACCCCAAGCCTTGGAGTAAACTCAAGTCCGGCCGGGAGACGTTCCGCAGGATGTGGAAGTGGCTGCAGGAGCCGGAGTTCCAGAGGATGTCTGCCCTGCGGCTGGCAGGTAGGTGCAAGCCGCGGTGCCGCGGGGGAGCGGAGCGCGACCCTCGGAGCCCCGCAGTGCGTCCTGCGCCGGCCCGGCGGCGTCCGCGCTCCGCCGCGAACCACGGGGCTGTGCGGAGCCGGCCGGTCCCCGCCTCCCGCAGCGCGCATCCCGGCTCTGCCCGGCGGGGCTGTGCGGAGCTCGGGGCCGGCGGAGGGGCGCGCTCCGCTGCCATTGCCGGGCTGCGGGGCCGGGGCTGCTCTCCAGGGCCGGGTGCTGAAGGTGCGCTCTCCGCACCGCGCCGCGCTCTCCGGAGCATCTCTGCTGCCGCTGCCAGCGCTGCCGGGCGCAGCGGGGGAGCCCGGGCGGGGGCTCCGCGTCCCGGGACAAGCGGGGCCGGTGGCAGCGGGCGGGCGCCGGACCCTCGCAGCCCCCCCGGCCCGGCCGCATTGTCCGCCGAGGGCGCGCGGGCGCCCCCTGGCGCGACCGCGGAGCGCCGCAGCCCCCATTGTTCTGCGGGGGCCGCGGGGGGGGCGGCGGGCAGCGACCCCCGGTACCGAGCCCCGGCAGCGCGGGGTGAGCGGGACAGACTCAGTGAGAGCTGTTCGTGCCCTGAGGCCGTGCGGGGTGCCCGGAGGTCGCTCCCCGGCCTGTCCCGTGCCAGTGCGGGCAGGGCCCCGCCGTGGAGCTCCCCGGAAACCTTGCTGCCGCGGCCGTGGTTGTAGAAGGACACGGGGAGCTGTGGCACGGGCAAACACGCGTGGGACACCCTGAGGCATGGGACGGGGGCTCTGCTCTGACAGCGACGAAAATCTGGAGGTGTTTGTGCCACCGAGTCCGTCCTTTTATTTCAATTGTGTTTCCCGGTGGGCAGGTACACAGGGGTCTGTTCCCAGGGACACCCGGAGGGGTCTGGGGGGACACGGGGGCCTCTTCTCTGCCGTAGGGAAATGGGCACAGAGAGTTCCTGCACGGGGGGCAGCTGCCGGGCGAGGCTGGGATGCAGTGGAGCAGGGCGAAGAGGAGCCGTGGATGATTGATTGATGGCTTTAATCCCTGCCCGAGCTCTAAGCAGAGGTGCTGCGGGTTAAACATCCCGGGCCTGGGGGCTGCAGAATCCCCGCGGAGAGCGCTCGGCATTTCACTGCGGGGCAGTGCCGGTGTGCTGCCCGTCGGGAGAGGGACGCTGATCCCCTCCTCGGCTCCAAGAAACTCCTCTCGTCCCTGCCATCCCGCGGGCACCCGGCTCTTCTCTGTTCGCAGCCAAGTGAAGGTGCCGAGCTCTGTCTGTGACACAGGGACAGAAGGGGTTTGGATTTTTTGCCGAGCACGCGGTGATGTCACCTTCACAAACAAACGTGTATCGAGAGGGAAATCGATGCAGATAATGTTTAGAAGATTAAAAGAGCATTAATGCTGGCAACAGGAGCATCAACGCGTGGACCCAGTTTTCATTGATCTGGAACCTGAGCCGGCTCATTTCCAGTAACGTGGCTGGTGCTTTTCCTTCCCAGCACTGGTCCCGGCTGGGGGTTCCCCGTGGAGCCCTGCATGTAGAGCAAAAAATCAGGAATCACAGCAGAGTTATGCCTGTGTAATTCTGGATCTCTGCTTTACCACTCCCCCTGAATGCCTCTGCATCCAGGAGTGAAGTTTGGAGAGAGTTCAGGTGCTGAGTGGCCACGGACTCCCCATGGAGCGGGAAAGACCTTTGCAAATTACCTTTCCCTTCAGGAAATCGATTATTTTAATTTTCTTTTATTACCACGTGTGAATATGCAGCCCCATTGCCTCAGTGCTTCCTTCTCCCCCTTTACTCGCTTGCTTAAATTGCTTAAATCCCTCTGAGCATGGGGAAAAAGCCACAAGTATTTCAGGTTTTTAAAAACAGAAAAGACCCACCAGCTACTTGCCCTATACTGCTGGAAATTTTTCCCAAGTGGGGTTCAAATCTGCTGTCCTTCCCTTGAAGGGAAATCCCCCTCTCCCTGTGGGAGCAGTAGTATTTTTTCTTATTATAGAAGATATATAGTGTTGTGTATTCTATTCTGATCTAATTTAATCCTATGATTTCTGTGCTTATTGTCTCTTCTTGGGGGTCTTTGAGACTCCTGTGCCAGGGGGCGGTGCTGGGGGTTTCTGTGCGGGAGGGTACGGGCAGGACCCGCTGTGAATGAGGAGTTCCGTGGATGCTCTGGAGCTCCGAGAGCCCTTTTGGGGTCCCCAAAAAGCGCCTGGGAAGCGGCGAGTGCCCCCCCGGGGACACAAAAAAAAAAAAAAAAGCGGGACAACGCTTTTGCCGCAAAACCACCCGCGACAGCGGCATCCTCCCGGGGCTCCGGACCCTCCCCTTCCCCGTGGGACAATCCCGAAATTTCTGCGGGGTCAGCAGAGCGCTCCGCCGCCTGTTGACCCTCTGCGGTGCTTTACTGATGATTGAACACTGTTGTCCCAGAACACCATCGGTGGTTCGTTAGTGTAGAAGTGCCCGATGCCGCTCGGTGCTCAGAGCCGGCAGTACCACGGAGAGCGGCGACAGGGATGGGAGCGGCGGTGGAGGGAAAGGAAGGGACAGAAAAAGGCCGTGGGTGACAGCACCAGGAGCGGGCGGTGGCAGTGCCACATCCCCGGGCTGAGCCCTGCACCCCCAAGTGCCCCAGGACAATGACGGGGGTCGTGGACCCCTGTGGGCAGTATCCACCCATCCTCTGCCCCTTTGTGCCCTACCAAATATTTCTTCCCTGGATTTTAAGACTATTTTGTTGTTTGTATCCCCAACTAAAAATTGAGATGTGATAACATCTGTATCAGGCACGTTACCTATTTATAAAGCTATTTCTTAGCGTTGAACTAAATATACAGGTATGTAAAGGTTCTTTGAAAGGTGCTTAGTGCCTTGAAATATTGGTGCTCTCTTCAGCTATAGATTGTGGTTGTGTTTGAACAATCCATGCGGTAAATTGTGGTGCTGGCTGATAAATGATATTTCTCATGTACCAACTTTCCGAAATAATACCCCACCCCAGCTCTTTGTTCCACATCATTTCTGAAGGCGTTTCTGCCACACATAAATCTGCATCCTGTTTTTGCAAAGCAAACGAATTTTTTCGTTTCTTGATTGTTTGATAAAGTGAATTCTGAGTACATTTTGGATTAAACGCATTTCTATATTTCACCTCTATTTTTAAAAAGAAACAATTCATTGGTCATCATGTTACTCATTCTGAAGCTGTTCTTCACTATTTCCTTACAAGATTTTTCCCCCAGCATCTCTTTTCTTTTTTTTTTTTTTTTCCTTTATCTCTTGCCCATCACTGTTTGAACTGAAATATCCCAAACTCTAGTATTCCTCTGCAGCTGAAAATTGCCACAATTTATTTGTGGTGAGGAATGCATAAAGGGGATGACATTTTTGCCAAAAGGATGATTTCTCAGGAGCTGCTGTTGGTTCTTCCCACGCTCCACAGGGGTGGTTTTGTTCTGCACTGTGGCCCCGGGTGCTCATCCTTGGTGCTCCTCCCTGGTATTATTCCCAGAACCTTGTCCTGGATGTCGCTGCCATCCAGCAGCTGCCAGAGCTTTTCCTTCCCTTCCAATTATCCATTCGTGGGAGATGAGAAGCGTCCTGCAGTCCCCAGCACGGCTGTGCCGAGCCTCTGAGCACTAAAGGCAGCAGCCTGCTCTCATCAGAGCAGCTCCCCTGGAGCTGCCTGCAGAGTGCAAACGGGGCTCTGCAGCAGTGCAGAGAATGCATCTCCGAGGGAAAGCAGGCCTGAAAGGCACTGCACACATCGCTTGTCCTGACAGCCTGCCCCTTTTTTCAGCAATCTCCAGGGGGGGATTTTTTACCTAAGCCATCTCTTCCAGGGCTTACAGGTACAAAAAAACCCTTAATGACTGGTCTTAATCTCACTTTTTGTCTTTTAAATCCTTTGCTTCTCATCTTATCCCCACTAGACACAGCAAAAAAGAGCACTCCCTTCCTTCTGATAGCGATCTGTTTGTATTTAAGGCTCCCATCTTGTCTCCTGTCTTCTCTGGAAAAAGCCCTTCATACCTGGGCGATGAATATGCAGGGAAAGCACTACATCCAGATAATACATCTCTTTTTCCAAGGTAAAAGATCTTGTATCCAGCTCTATCAATCTTGCAGACTTTTGCATAAAAGGCTCTCTGATTTATAGAGGGGTTTGCACACAGAAATCATACCAAACAGACTCATCTCAAATGGGTCTGGTGATAACATCAGCCAGACAACTCGCTGATGGCAGAGAGAAATGCAATCAAAAAAGGAATTGGAGTGTTTTGGGGTTGTTTGGGGCTTTTGAGCTATAAAATCAAACTGCTCCATTGTGAAAAAAGGGACTCAAACCACTGGTAAATGCTGCACAGAGGACTTATTAGACAAGCGATAGAGGCTGGCAGGTTCCCAAAACGCAAATTGTCTCCAAGACCAAAATATCTCTCAGTAAGCAGGGAACATATTTATGAGCAGTGGTGATTTTCCAGCAGTTCTCATCCCCTCATAATGGGATGGCTGTGCCCAGGCATTAAGCTTTGGCAAGCAGCACTGGGCTGCAGGAGGTGAAGGAAGAGCAGAAGAAGGCTTCCTCAGCCAGCTTCCCACACACCTCCTTCTCGTGTTCCTCCTCCCCTGGCTCCTCCTGCCCTCTCCTTCCATGGCCCCTTTCCTCTCCCTTCCTCACCTCCACCTCTCTGGAGCCCTGCTAAAGTTGAGCTTTCCTAAGCCCCTGGCAAGAGGGAAACAGGAAGCTGAGTGTGTGGAGAAACAGGGCTGCTCTGGCTTTGTGTGCAGCCAAAGTGCAAGGAGAGGTCGGAGGGCAGCACAGGTCTGGCTTTCCCACATAACCTGACACAGCTTTGCTTCTGTCCTCTCCTGTTCTTCCTAATTCCACGCTATTGATAACAGGCAGTAAAGGGAAATGCTCATGTCCTGCTTCTCCCAGGGGTCAGAATTCCTGAAAACAGGAGCACACAGCAAGGATTCACTAGATCTGTCCTTCCCCTTGCAGTAAGATTTCATGCTCTTACTCAGCTCTTGCTTACCCAGCCCAGCTTTAAATTCCCAGCCCTTTCTCGGCAAAGATTCCCAAAGTCCTTCCCTTTCTCCACAGGAGAGGGTCACAGCCTTTTGGGTACTTCCCGAAGTGCTGGCACATTACTTGGAGATGCTGCTCCAACAGGCAGAGCACTCGGTGTGGGGAAGGCCTGGCTTCATCCCTGTGCTCTGACAAGGGGAAGAGAAGTCCTTGTCACTAGAAAGTGTTATAATTCAGCTGGAAACGGTTTTGAGATTCAAAAGGGAAAATCTCCTCGGCAAGAGGAAGCATAAATCTCCCAGGTGTTCGACATGAAGGACTCTCTGAGTGCAGCTGGACGGATCCAGAGCTATGCTGTGCCAGAAGGTTCCAGTGGTACCCAGAGGCTGCTGTCAGAGATCCTGGGCTGAGGTGGGTGCTGCAGCACTGCAGGGAGGAGACAGAATTTACAGCCCAATTCCAGCCATCGAGCAGATTTACAGGAGACTGGAGACAAACAGCCTGAGAGCTGTGGTGTGCCAGGAAGAAACAGAAAGGAGCCATGTCCCCAAAACCATTCATCTTTTCTTCTCAGAGAGCTGCAGGGTGTAGGGCCTGGAGGGGGGTGGGCATTCCCTGGGATTGTGACAGGATTGAGAGGGAAAAATCAGGTGGGCTACCAAGAAAACACCTTCCTGTTTCACAGCCAGGCTGTGAGCTTCTGTTTTGGAGCATTGCAGGAATCCCTGGATCTCCAAACAGGGAACACCTCACCATTACAATGGATGAGCAAGCAGATCTTCTCTGGAAAAACAGAATTAACTTTGTGCTACACGTCCAATCTGCTTTTCTGGATAAATGCCATCAAGGGCATTTCTAGGGTTTCAAAAATTAGGAGTTTGGTGTGTGTGTGCAGCAGCTGGGATGAGCAGCACTGTCTGCCCACCCCGACAATGTGATTATTTGCATCTTCATTCTGATTGCTCCTTGTTCCATAATGATTTTGTACACAGTGGAGTACTTAACCTAATTTGTATTGATCTCAATCGCTCTCATTCGTGCATACTTAATTCAGAGAGGTAATAAAATTGATTTCTGAGGCCTAGTTTTCAAGAGATTGTAGTAACAGGGGTATACAAGAGGTTGCTTTAAGTGAATCACAGCAAAAGAAAAGCATTTTAAATCTTTAGAAAACGTTTTGATGGTCATTTCATTGTGCTCAGTATTACCAGAGTAATTACATTTCCCTCGCATGATTCCTCTCCAAAATCGAATAGAGGAGCAGTTTGAGTTCCATCAGACAGATAACTGGGTTTGGGTGACTTTGCACCCACACAAACCACAGAGGCAGGGTCAATATTCACGGCTTGTCCCTAGGAACAATGGATGAAGGGAATATTGGTCTCTGCTTGGCTCCTTCTTAGCACCTGCTCTTTGTTTCATGGCTGCAGAGTCACTTTTGCTGTGACAGAGAGGCACGGGAGCTGTGTTGGTGATGTTCCAGTATCCCACGCGGCTCCACTTCTCCCGGGGCTGCTCAGGCACTGCTTCAGCCCCTGGGATCCCTCCCTGGCCTCTTCGTCCTCCTGATGCTGGTGACCTTCGTGTCCTCATCTCTTCCTCCCTCCTGGAGAAATGTAGGAGCCGAGGGATGCCCTGGAGCATCCCTGCCCCATGCCTGACGGCTCACAGGGTGGGATTGAGCTGAGCACTTCTAGGTATTTTTCAGGATTTCTGCCTGTTTGGAATGCCTGGGTTGGCTGGGTTCCTGTCTTGCCTGGAAGAAAATGGAAAATCAGAATCATTGTTGCAGAAAATCAGACAAATGAACTATTAGTAAGGAAAGTGTGATGACACTCAGGGTGTCACAGTGCAGCACCAGTTCTCTGCACCCTCTTAATGCCCTTCAAGTTATGGGGCTCTGCTAAGGGAGGCAGCACTGACCCCAATTCTGAGCAGTCCCTGTATTGTTTCGATCAAAGAGCATCTTTAATCCAATGCAGAAGAAAATTTTTTGTTTATTTTTATGCTTGTATTTTTTCCACAGTTATGGCTTTCAGTTCTTGCTGGTTGTCCATTTTTTTCCATAGGATATGTTCAGGTTTAACCGCAGCTAATAAATCAAATTGTGCTTAGAATCCAGATGGTCTCTTCCCTTCCCTCTGCTGTTAAAACCTTTCTCTTTCTTCCTGGAAAATCACTTGATTTTATTAGAGTGCTCATCCCATTTTTCTCTGCTGAGAGATGCACGTCAGGTGCAGCGTTTGTCTTTGTGGGGCCTCTTCAAGACCAAACTCCACAGTTCAAGGAAAGTATTTACTGAATGCATCAAAAAGCACATCCCTCTGCATTATTTATTATCAAATACCAATAACTGTAAAACACAGAGTATCTCAGGACATAAATTAGTGATGGGAGGAAACACTCCACTCATCCCAGTGTCCCAGAACAGACTAGAAGCTGCAGCAGAGATGCTGGTGCTCATCATGTCCCCAGCACTGGGGACATTGCCATGTGGATTCTGGACACGTGGCCAAGTAAACTCAGCTTCAAATCTGCTTTTTCAGCTCAGTTGGATGTTATCTGTGCAATGTCAGAGAGCCCAAATTCTTCCCTCCTGCTGCCTCTGAGATAATGGCCTTGGGGAGGTGAGTGTGGCCATAGGGATACAGGTGCAGGCTCACCTTGATGCCTCTGGAGCATCTGTGCTGCTTCCCAGAGCCCTGTGCTGGTGCCAAGCTCTGGGAGAGCTGTGCAGGAACATTCACCCACAGTCCCTGTCTGGGTTTCAGCCTGATTCCCAGCACCATCTTTCTCTTATGCTTTGGGGTATTTTGGAAGTCTGACCTTCACCTCCCTCCCAGAGCAGCTCTGCTGCAGCCACTGGAATTTGGCAGCTGAGAAAGGTCAGGGTCAGGCACTCCAACAAAACACTCCAGTTCCCTGCAGAAATGCTGTGAGGTCCTGTCCCTGCAGAGATGGAGGCAGTCAGTGCCACAGTGGCTGAGCCAGGCTCCACACAGGTACAGCCCTGACTGGGTTAATTACAGACATTTCCACAGTCTGACTTTTCCTTTTGGGCCAGCTTCATTTCTCATTCCAGACCTACAGAATTATTTAACAGGGCTGCTTAAAACCCGCCCGCTTATCAATTCTCTGGGCTCATTTTGTCCCAGCACATTACCTAACCATGTCAACATATGGATTTTCTCTCTGGGCCCGGTGCAGATAGCCTGGGCAGGCTATTTTTAAGTGTGGGTGTGCTCCGGCAGCGGTATTGGTTTCAGCACTTGCTGTTCTCTCTGCTAATAAATACAGAGCAGCTATTAATACCAATGGGGTTTAGGATCCATTAGCATCGCTCAGTGATGGTCCAGCCTGCCCTGCCTGACCTGGGTGCTTCTGCCTGGCTTCCCCCTCGAGACACGCCCCGGGAAGGGGGACAGGCGATGGGAGCAGTGCCCTGGGGTGGTGGCACTGCAGGAGTCAGGTGGCAGGGGAGGAGCAGGGCAGGACCAGGTGAGCCAATGCCTGAGCCCTGTGCTGGCAGCCAAGCAGGTCCATGGTGGTTTTTCCCCTCGGTGGTTGCTGCTACTGGAGCTTTGACTGGGGTTTGCTTTGGGCTGTTTAAATGGACAGAACTTACATACAACTGTTATTCCTGGCTGTTGAGAGGTACTGGGAATGTAAAAGCAATGCAGCCCACTGGATTCCTCTGGGATCCCCATGTGCCAGAGCGGTGCTGGCTCAGCTGGTGACACTTCCCCCACCGTGTGCCTGCCATCAGGGTGGCAGGTGGGGTCTGTGGGCACCACCCTGACACTTTTTCTCTGTCTCTGCCACCCCCTCCCAGCCTGCAAACGCAAAGAGCAAGAGCCCAACAAAGAGCGGAACAACTCCCAGAAGAAATCCCGCCTGGTTTTCACGGACCTGCAGCGCCGAACGCTTTTCGCCATCTTCAAGGAGAACAAGCGTCCCTCCAAGGAAATGCAGATCACCATCTCGCAGCAGCTGGGCCTGGAGCTCACCACCGTCAGCAACTTCTTCATGAACGCGCGCCGGCGCAGCCTGGAGAAGTGGCAGGACGACCTGAGCTCCGGGGGCTCCTCCTCAGCCCCCAGCACCTGCAGCAAGGCGTGAGGGGCACGGCTGGCACAGGCCAGCCCAGCCAGCCCAGCCCAGCGCAGCCAGAGCGGCTCCCAGCACGGCCCCTCGCCCGTGACCTAAAGCACAATCCCCCCGCAGCCACCCCCAGCCCAGCTGTTCCCAGGACATCCCCACGGCTTCTCAGCAGGCTCCACATTCTCCTCTCTCCACACAATACTATGTATGCTCAGGACAGGCAGGTCTGAAATGGAGGAGAGTGGTTCTTGAGGCAGGTTTCTCCTGAGCCCCAGGTTTCCGTGGCTGTGTGCTGGCCACACCACCCTGCGGCCACGCCACAATGGAGCACAAAGTCGGATACCAAAATCCCAAACCCCTCTTTTTAAACTCAGGCATGGTTTTGTTAAGTGTTTTAGGGGGAAAAAAAAAGTCAGATTTAAGGTTGTTTTTCTTTTTGTTTTAATTGAATCAGCTTGTTCTTGGATCAGAAAAGTTCCGTTCTCTTGAGCTCAAAGTATCAAGCACAAAGCTGGTAGCTACAGTCATGTTCCATGGGCTGCTGTGCCAGCTGCAGCCTGACATCCCAGGAACACCGTGGAGATGGCATGAGCCTCAAGCACAGCTGGCAGTTCCTCACAAGCTCTGTGTTTGTACCTAATGCACACTCAGGAGGTCGATAGAACTGCTGCAGTTCATGGAGCAAACACAATATTTTGGAAGATCTAGATTAATTCACATTATTACATCCTTTTTAGTTTCTGGGAATCTGATTTTTCCTCAACAACGGCTGTTACTGAAACCCTGTTAGCGTTCAGTGTATTTTTGTTCATTTTCTCAGTATTTTATGGTACTTTCAAGCAGGAAAAGAAACAGAAACAAGCCCTTGAGATGCCACGGACTGTTTCAGATGTGCCGCGTTTCTCTAGATCGCATCCTTAAGTTCCTTTTCCCTGCCAGCTCCCCGAGCCGGCAGGAACACAGCACACCAAAGAGACAGGATTTCTGCAAGCCAAAGATGTTTATACCTTGCCATTTCTGGTAGTCATGGCTGGTGTGGGTGGCTGGCTGGCGCTGGGGAAGCCTGGCAAGCCCCGGAGCCGCCCTGGCGGCGGCAGGACAGCTGCTGGCTCTGACCGGCCCGGCGCGGCCGTGCTCTGCTACAGACACTTGAGACTTTTTTTATGTACTACTTAATCGAAACCAAAGAAACGTTTTCTGCACCTACTTCTTCTGCAACAAACTGTTCCATTGAAAGATAATAGAAAAATAAAAAATAAAAATAAAAAAAAACCAAAAAAAAAAAACAAGGAAGCATGTCAGGAAGCAAACAAGTCCCACACTGTGTTCTACAGACATCTTGGACGTTTTCGGTAGCAGATCTCAAAGAAAGGGTTGACAAGAATGAAAACAAAGCAAAGCCAGTACAATTGCTGCTTCATTTGACAACTCAAGTCATCTTAAAGTTGAAGATTGTCTTTAATTTGTGCCTATGCAGTTTTTTCAAAAGAACAAGGAACAGAGCAACCAAAACCTCAACAGCTACAATACCAAAGATGAGGATTCTCACTACTTGTATTTCAGTTTGTTTCTCCTCTTGCACGACTAATGCACATAGACCCCCGCTGCTCTCTGGACAGGTAACCACTCGTGAGTCTTTGTGCAACCAGAAGGGTGGGTTTATTTATGTTCCCCCTGTTTCTGCCCCACACAGCATCTCTCCAAGAGCTGCATGGACTCCAGGTGCAGGATGTTGGGATACTACTGGTGCATCTCCTCCCTGCAGGAAACACTTGTGGGGTGGCTATGACTTGTGTCTTGGTGTCCTGTGTGTCTGGAGCTGTGAACAGCCACCCTCCTGTGCTCCACCCTTCCTTCTCTCCCCCAGGGATAAAACTTGCAATGTTTCTGTCCATTCTGTTCCATCTCTGTCACTGTGAGTGCTGAGCAGCACCACAGCCCGGCTCCAAAGCTCCACCTGACCCAAACCCAAGTATTCAGCAGTTTGTGATGTGGTTCAGGAGGTGCTTCTGACATATTAGCCTTGTAATGTTGTTTGATCCAGGTCATGATGATCCGGATCATGGCATGTCCAAATTTATCAGAGCTGGAGCACATCTTGTTTCTCTCTGCCTTTAAACAAGGGCTTCATTTTAACTGCTTCACAGAACTGCTGCAGTCACTTCCCAATGACTGCATTTAAAATAGAAAAAAAATAAAGTCAAGAAGCCTTGTCTGCTCAGGACAGGAAAAGTTTCTGCAAGCAATTTCAGGATCCTCACAGCTGAATTAACAACATGTGCCTGCTCTGGGAATCAAAGGATCCTTTGGCAGAGATTTCCAGGCAGATTCCAGAGAGATTCAGAGAATCCTTTTAGCCAGACATGGAATAAGGTTGCCAGAAAACGGTCCCAGTCTGGGCTGATGTGTTCTAAGGGCTCCTCACCCCAATGCCAGATATGTGAGTGTGGAGTCTGGAGCCAGCAGGCTGTGGAGCAGGGCCCAGCTGAGGTGATGTGCTCACATTAAAGTTTCACTTTCATTCCCACCTGAGTGTCCATCAGAACAGCCCCTGGTGCATTTTGAACTCAGCATTGCCTTCGTGCTGGAAGTGTCCCCCTGAGGATGTGCTTGCTGGGGGACACCTCCCTGGGGCTCCTCTCACCTGAGGGACATCCAGAGTGGCACAGCTCTGCCTCCCACCTTCCCCAGAGGCACAGGGTAGCTGCCCACAGCTTCTGGAGAGCCCTGGGAGCAGACCTGGGCTGTTTGCTCCTGCTCAGAGCTCATCCAATATCCCAACAAAGGGAGTTCAGATCAGGTACTGAATGACTTACAAACTTCTCAGTGAAATTCTCTCCAAATTGTGGAAGTGTTTGTTATGCAACCTTACAGAGTAGCAACACACACGAGGCTTCTGTGGGCTGGGGCCTCAAATCTGTCAACAATCACAATCCTTTTCCACCTGAAAATGAAATCCTGCTGCATTTTTTATCCCTGCATCTCTCTGTGTGACGTCTTCCATTGCAGTGTCCCCTCTCGTAGGCTTTCATGTAGCAGCTGCCTCAGGAGGAGCCAGAGGCTGTGGTGGACATGTTTGTCTGTGTGGCACAGTGTGTGCTGTGCTGTGCCCACACCAAACCCAAACCCTCGTGTTTCATGTCTGGGCCACGTGCTGATGAATCTCGAGAGCTGTGTCATGTAACTTCTGCTTTATTTATTGTGCTGCCAAAGACTCGTGTGTGCAGAGAGTATCCCAGCATGTTCTGGACCAGGAACTTGGAGTCACAACCTTGGGCACAGCCAAGATGAATTCAACTTTCAGAAGCCTTGGATGTTGCTGGATCTCCCGTGCAGAACAAAGAATGTGCTCCCTGAGCTCGGTTGCAAAGCTTTATTGTGGATCTCTCTTACCACAGCTGAATCCAAAGAGCTGCAAAGGACTCGGCCCCGGGGCAGGACAGGGCTCTCCTGTTCCCAGGGAACAACAGAGTGTGCTGGCTTCGGACACGCCGATGCTTCCCTTGCTTGTCACAATTCCGGAGTATTTTTATGATACGGGGAAACTTTCTACTCGGCCTCCTTTATATTTATTATGGGGAATTTTTATTGTTTAAGGTTTTTTAAGAAGGCAAAGCTTAAAATGGTTTTATTTTTTTCCAGACACTTGTGGGTTTTAACCCGATATATTATCTATCAATAATGTAATTTATTTAATTTAGTCTTAGGGCAGGTCCTGAGATCTCTGTTCAGTCTGAATCTCATTGTATTTCAGTTTAGCTTTTGAATTCAGTGAGAGTTTTGCCTGAATGTAGATGGGGGGGAGGGGTGTCAGGCTCTGCTGTTAGCTATTTGTATCTATTTAATTCAGCCATTTGTGAATTCTTTTGGGAGTAATTTTGCTTATTTATCCATAGGGCTGTTGTAGTGCATCGGGGATGCAAAACCTGTTAGTAAATACCCTTCAGAACTGGTATTGCTTTGTAGAGCAGCCAGGCTCTGTCAGGGGAAAAACAACTCAAGAAGTCTAGTTTTAATTTCTTCTTTTAATTAATTTAATTGTTTAAGTATCAAAGTTTAAGTTATTTAAGTTAGTTTCTTCACTCCTGATTAGAAAGTGTGACATACCTTTATTATGGCACATGAAGCCTTCATAATATAACTTATTTATTTAACTTATTCATCATCACCCAGGGATGCCCTTGTAGAGTTTTTATTTTTTATTTAGAATTATCTATAAAGCACTACAGCTGATTTCCTCTAAGAACAGCAGAGCGAACTTTGAGGACAAGCAATGAATATTCAACCTAAAACTGTGCATTCAGAAAAATAGGAAAAAAAAAAAAAGACACTGGGATACTTTGCCTGAACTCTATGGCTTCTTAAAACTTAAGCTGGGGGGAAAATAATCCATGCCAAGCAAAAAGAGAGAAACCCTTAAACTAGCTGCTTCCAAGAATGAACTTCTGTGTGTGGAAAAAAAGAAAAAGGGAAAAAAAAAAGGAAAAAAGAAAAAAAAAACCCAGAAAAACCTTTCTATTTCTAGTGAGAACCAAAGAGGCTACCTCACTGACTTTTCCATTTGTAATTTTAATCGTGTTGATGATACCAAAGATACCAAAGATTTCTTTCTCTGTGCGGTCTGCATTCTGCTTGTGCTCTCTGATAACTCCCCCTGTTCTCTCCTAACCCAGAAACGTCCAGCAGAGCCCAGATTCCCAAAGAAACGCTGCCCTGGAAGCTGCCAGTTCTGGTGATGCCCTTTTCTGTGTTCCCTCCTCCTTCCTGCCAGCCCAAACCTTCTGGAATTGTGGAGCTGGTTCCACTGCAGGTCCTGCAGTGCTTGTGTGGAGCTGGAGGTGACTCCAGCCTTTGTCCAGTGCACATTCCCTGGGGAAAGGCTCTGCAGGTGCTGCCTGCCTGTGTTTGCAGCAGCAATTAGCATTGCTAATTATTATTATTATTACTATTATTATTGTTCTCGTGCTTGAGCAGAGCCCAGGGCTGGTGTGGGGCTCTCCTGCCCGTGTTCCCCTTGC